CCTAATGTCTGATTAAGCATCAGTGTGGCATAAAATATAACTTCCTGCTGTTTGTCTCTTTTTAAAACATCTGGTTATTTGCAGAATAGCCAGAGAACTGTGAATCATAAGTCCAATACAGAGAACCAGAGACAAAGGAAACAGGGGCAAATGGGCCCAGGGGAGAGAGAGCAGGAAGAGGCTGAAGAGTGCCGGAAAGGAAATGATTTAGTACGGTTCAGGGAGTCAAGTTTTAATATGTTAATTCTTAATTCTTTAAATAAAAGCATTTTTCTACCTAGGAGTTTTGGTTTCCTTTCCCAATCCTTAGATCACATGTGTCAAACTCAAGGCCCGGGGGCCAAATGCATCCCACCAAGTTTTTCTTTTATTACACAGCAATGAACACTATTTCTAACTTGAATAAATAATAATCAATTGCAGAAACATTTATTAATTCATTATCGCGTACCTTCAGTATCCATGATACTAGGTGAGGGCACTAGAATCTCAACATTTGTACTTTTAAAAGTCTGGGCAGCTGGGGTTTAATCGATTAGTCATTATTCATTTTAATCACAATTACAGTGAATTAAATACAATGAGGATAAATCACTTTTGCCAAATATAACCACAGAATTACTTCCTTCGTTGGTTCCTGTTTTAGTGCAGGTGGAATATCATGATTCTCAAGGTTAAAATAAACGACACACACATTTACGCTGTATGTCAGGGTCCCACATTCACTGAGTATCTGCTTTCACTAATTGGTGTAAATGGAGAGTTTCCTCTGCCTGCACGGTGAGATTACCTCAGCGGGGTTCTCTCATGCATTCATTAGTGTTAATCGTTACCTGTTAGCTCATCAGCCAACCCTGCATTGACCCAACCTGGTACATCACTGTGGTTATCTTTAACAAAACCTTTTGACACCTTGGACTAAGACAGACCTGTGGTGGCAACAGTAGTACAGATTATTAGATTAATAATCTGACACACAAAAAAAATACCAGAGATGTTAGAGATGTTATTGTTAAGTGTAATGACTTTCTGTTCTTAACAGCACACAGTAAATTCATTCCATCCATCAATCTAACCCTGTAATGATTTTCCAAGTCTGGCTCTTCCTGCTCTATATTCATACAAATGCATTCCATTTGTGGCCACTGATTCATTTTTTCCTCCAACTTTTACTTTATTTCACAGCTATGAAACCAGGAAATGTCAATCAGACAGCACAGCAGGAACTTCTGCAGGGTCAGAAGAGAAAGAGTGAACTTTTATTTAATGTAGCACTTCTTTCTTCTCGCCTCTCCACCTCCATCTCGTTCTTCTTTTCTACAGCAGCTGAACTCAACCTTGGCTCTTTATAGTTTATGATTCAATTTCCAATTTGTCCTCCAGAGGTATTTGCCTGGTGGACGGCACACTGGTTTTGTTCCTTGGTGTAAAATATTCACTTTGAACATAGTGTCACAGATACCTGACTTTACATTTCCATACATGTGATGTTGTTTTTAGGTTGTTGTTTTTTTAACATGTCAGTTACATCTGGAAGCTGTGATGAAATGTGTGACACTAACATGTGTTACTTCTAAACATAGTCAAAGTTGATAATTACCAGACAGCTGCTGTGTTACAGCCCAGATAGATTCATACTTCATTAGGCACATAGGGTAATTTACATTTATAATAATTAATAATATTTATAAAAAAGTATAAAAATACCAACCATCATCATCATCTCTTGTTCCACCTCCTCACTATGTAGTTTTTTTTAGGATCAGTGGACCAAATGTTAGGTTGAATTTTCTTGTGGAACAACAGCTGTTGAAATAAACAAACCAAAGTGTCTGGCAGCAACAGAAATAAATGATATATTTTTTATATTTTTTATTTTCCTGATGCTTAGTTTGATCTTCAGCAGGTTTTTCCTAAATGTGCCTAAAACACTGGCACTGCTTCCCCGTGATTGGTTAACAAAATAGATTTTTCAACAAGCGATTAAAAAAAAGGTGATGTCCACATTACAGAGAAACTTTGTATGAATTCCGGTCTTTAGAGTTGATATACAATTAGTATTGGTTCTATGATTCTGTCTTTTAGGGAATATACTGCTAAGTGAGTATTACAATTGTTCATTTATCTTTATCAGAGAGAGAGAAAAACTCAGACCTTATTATGACCGGGTGTTTGAAACACAAACATCAGTACTCTGTGTCATTCTATTGCATACGTGTCAAATTCAAGGCCCGGGGCCAAATTGCGGCACGCCAAGCCATTTTGAAACAGGTATTACAACCTTTTTTGTTCTAAGAACTGGTCGGCCCAGTACCAAATGAACTATGGACTGGTACTGGTCCGCGGACCGGGGGTTGGGGACCCCTAAGCTATACAGTCTTCCAGTTACAACCGGTCTTTCAAGGGGAACTGTATTGATGAGGTGGCCCCCGGTGAAAACGAGTTTGACACCCCTGTTCTAGGGGAGGCCAACATTGAAACTCAGATGACTGGGTTGATTTAGAAGTGACGGAATTTTAAAAGTACACTGGAAGCCAACAAAGTTATTATTATTGTAATTTTACCAATCATTTGTTAAATTTCATGTCCTTCTGTGAATGACTCTTCCTCAGCAGAAACCCGATCCAGTATTCCTTTTGTACATAGAGAGACACCCTCCTGCTGTTGATACAGGGTTATGGGATCAGTCATAGCAGAAAGACACGTCTGGACTGGAAAGGTTATGTATGCACAACAGTGACAGTGATAGATGTTAGATAATATGATCCTGTGGTTGACTATAAAAGGCCAGAGTGTCTGCTGCCACTTATCAGATACACACCTGGCACCTTAATAACTAAATATATCATGGTTTAAACATGTGCGTTACCAAGGACACAGTGATTGGTGAAGGTGGTTTTATGCTAATGCGGCTCCCTAGAAATTTGTCAACAGCACAGATTGAAGAAGAGTGAGGGAAAAGGAGAGGGGGAGAGGGGGAGGAGAGGGGGAGGGTTAAAGCCAGAGGCTCTTCATTCAATGCAACTTTCACAATGATGAACAATATATAATTAAATGATAATTATGATCTGTTTTAGAGCTCACAGCCTGAACCAATGTGTGATGTTGTCATACTGTATCTGTGGTGTTGTTGAGTTAACTAAGCCGACACATCATGGGTTTAATATAATATTCTTTTTTTAACTCCTGCTACCTTTTCACTTTTATATATATAATTATATTATAACTAATTCCATGTATATTTTTGTATTCTTATTCATGTTGTTCATAACATTTTTCTCTCAGATATTTTGAAGTTAATTTGGTCGGTTGGTTCATAATTACAAAGCAAGACACACACGGTCGTGTTTAGTTAGGAACGGGTTCATGTTGCGTTGTATTTGTATTAATATTCTGACCAACTTTGCTGCTGAAAAAACAACGGAAAGACTGGATTGGTTGGGTTTTTTTGTTTTAGTTTAACTGCCAACACTGCCTACTGTATACAGTATGTACTATTGTTTATATGGTAGTACCTGTGGACACCACCGGCCTCTGTTATAAAGTCTTTTTGGTCAACTGGTTGTTTCATTCCTGCCGGCTTCTTCTCTCCCTCACACACCACCCTGAACACCTGCTCCCAGTCGATTCATCTGGGATTTTAAAGTGGCGTGGAATGCTGTTTATTTCTCACACGAAAAAAAAATGTCACATTTGTAATTTCCAGCTTGAATTTTTCACAAGCCATATGGAGCGCCTGTGTACACGCAGGGTGGAGTGCAGTTTCAGTGTGGAGCTGCCTTTAAGGAGGGCAGACAGCCTGTCTCCACACATTACATTAGAAAGGCTCTTTGAGAGTGCGTGCATGTACGGTGTGTGCGTGCACATGCACGTGTGCTGCAGGCCTAACTGCGTGCTTGACCAAATGCACATCTCCCTCTGAGCTTGTGTGAGAGCAGTTTAGTGCATGCATCTTAACATCCACGGATATCTTTGTCTGTGAATCCACTAACACTAACATCACCAGCACCTTCAGAGCAGGGTTACGGTTTTAGTTGCTTCTAATCAGCGGCAGTGTATCGAGATTGCAGCCGATAGACCGAAAATCAAAGAATCAACAGTGTGTGGTGGAGCGATCAGCGTAATCGCTGTTCAGCTTAACTTGGAGAATCAGAGGAAAGCTGTTTTCAAGACGATTGGCAAAACAGCTAAAGATACTGCCAAGGCTTATGTTTTCCTCGCAAACAAGATTCTCCTCATTGTCGGAGTTGATGTTTCAGACTGGGTTTAAAGCCTGTAATTTTCCCACAGTTTGCAAATGGTGTGCAGAGCATGTGAATGTAGGAAGAAAAGAAGAAAAAACAACAGTTGGTTGAAAGCTAAAACAGATGGAGAGCCGACGGCAGCGAAGTGAAAGCAGGTTGGTCCGCTCCGACCTGAGACGATGTCTGTAGGACAGAGGGTGAACGGCAGCGAGGGAGTCGTGCTAACTGACTCACAGTCACACGCTCACATTATGAGAGGGCTCTTTTGTTGCATCCTTCACTTCAAACCTTGGCCGCGGTTGTCTAGTCAGCAGACAGTATGTGGATCATAGTTCAAACATTTTCTTAGAAGTGTGTTTTTGTTTTGTAAATATGTCGTGTTTACTGAGCATGAGCTTGAAAGCGCAACGATGGTTCAACAAAGAACTACGATGACTCATCTGTACTTCTGTAAATATATTTATTTAAAAGTGTTGCAAAGTGTTCAACACCAGCCTATTTTGTTGGGCTGAAGACCCAAAACCTTAATAAATTCTTCATAATGAACACAATATTTTATGTTCTACATAAAAATGACATTTTTTTTGGAGAGAACTTAAAGTGTGAAAAATAGTTGGTTATATAATTAAAACAGCGTGTGTGTGTGTGTGTTCAGTACTATGGGTGTTGAATGTGTCTGGAGCGTCGACCTTGAAGTGACCTAAGGGATTGTATTCAGTAATTATCTGATTACTCCACTGTTTTTTTCCCACTCAGACAACCTGCAACCAGATAATGCTGTGACTCCCTGATTACAACTTACTCCGCAATCAATGAACCATTAACAGGGGCACATGGTCAGTACACATGTACACACATACACACACACATGCACTCTCTTCCATGGGACCCATCAATGTCAGTCCGTGTCTCATGCTAAACAGGTACTTACATTTATTGGCTCTGACTGTTGGCCACAGACCTGGGAGTGGACTCTCTTTACAGCAGCACCGTTGTTTCTCCTTCATATTTCGTTTGCATATATTCACTTTAAACATGATGCCAACCTTGACCGCCTTCCAAGCTCAATTTCCAACCTCCCACGTTCAATATATCTTGGCTCAGTCTTTTAGTGCACAGCTAAACCATCTCAAACCTCCCTCAACTTTATCTCCAAAATACTGAAGAGCGGCTGTATCTGTGGTCTGCTTGATTTAATCCTGTCCTTCTAGAATATTCATACAGTATAAATACATAACAACAGGTCCATCAACTGGATATAAACTTTTCCCTTTCCTCTCCTTTCGTCCTTTTTTCATCTTCTACACAAGACTCAATTTTGAGAGACTATTTTGACTATTAATATAGCACTTTCTGTCTTATGTCCGTTAATTGACATTACGGTTTCACTTTCCATTTTCTTCATATTATGAGATAACTGCAGCGGACGTTTACTGACGGAAACATTTAAGTTGTGAATCTTGTCTTGTCTATCATCTGCTCCTCACCAGATCTGTTTTAATGTTGCCACTGCTTTGTGCAGAGCTCAGCAATTAACTGTATGTCTGGAGATATACTACAACAAGAGAGCTCTCTCTCTCCCTCTCTCTCTCCCTCTCCCTCTCTCATCTGTACACCATCCATTCCATTTATGAAAATGTTTGCCCTTGCCTTTTCAAGAATCTCTCAGTAAGACAAGCTGATAATTCCTGACAGCCACACAGGCCTGCAGTCGATCTTACACGTAAACATAGCTGTAAATACACATGAAGCTACATTTTCAATCTCCTGAGTCTGCAAAAGTGCACAGCACTGAGCTGAATGTTCTCAGTCTTCAAACAACGATGGCTGAAGTGCTTTGTTCTTTCAAAGACACCTAAAAAAACATCTATTCACTTCAGTCCTTTTCCCCTTCAGTCAACCGTTAATACGGTAAAGTGCACTGTCAGCATTATAAATGTTTCCAGTGACGTAAGAGGCGGAAAAATATCAATGGAAACCGAGGGTTGAGGGTTCAGTGTGAGGGCACCTGCTGCGTGTCACCATCTCGCTTCACATTTTGAAGACATCGCTGCCTGTCAGATACACTCAGTCCAAACACAATATCTTCCAAGGTCAAACTTTTCATCTTCTTTTCATTTGTTTATGTAATTACAAATGACTTCTTTTTATTCAGTAAATGTGTTTTGAAATACCGCTGCCTCCTACTGTAGACCTTGCTCAACAAGTCTGTCAAAGCAGTATTGGAAAACAAGGCCAAAGGGTCGTGAGTATAGAACACAAGCTCGCCTGGTTTTCCAACCCCAACAAAGGTCTCTGATCCGTGGTGAAACCCAAGGCCAGCATCAAAGGAGGAGTGCACTGCACCAAGTGCCATTTAGGGCCACTGCAATCAACACTTGGAGCTCGGTTTTCATTAATCAATATCAAATTGATTTTATCCAAGTCTTATGACATGATATGGATGAACACAAGAGCTGAAATATCTGAGTGTAATCCAATGACAGCTCCACTGGCTCCATGTCCAGTGGCTGATTCAAATCAGAGTCCTCGGTGCCAACAAATACTTTTATTGTTCCCACTCATAAACTTTGTTCTATTTTTAACTACGTTAACTAATATTTGAAACGAACACCGCTGTGGCATCAGGATAAAATTGGTGCAGAGGCGAGTTTGAACGCTACGCTAGTAGGTTTTCGCTGACTTGATCTGCTGAGCAGCCTGCAGTCTTTGGTGTCGTATTCTGCGCCTCATCAAGAGCCAGACATTTTTAAATAAGGGACAGATGTGTGGACTGTAATCAGGTCAGACGGTCCAGTTTATTTAGTGTCTACAAAGCATTGCTTTTTGCAGTTTGTGTAGAATGAATCCTGCAGAAATCCACTGAGGTCCTTGGAGATAAGTTCTCTGATCAATGGTTAATATTCATGTGCAGTACTGTATATGCAGCGCAAAGATACTTGGAGATAAGTCTGATCATTTTAATACGTGTCACAATGATAATCGAACATCTTTCCCTCGTCCAATCAGAGACATCAGTGTTTCCATTGTCTTCTATTATGGAAGCAATTCTTACGATAAATATATATATATATATATATTTATATATATATATATAAAAATATATTATATA